GGGGCCATGGCTGCCTGAGCACAGCATGACTCCTTTCTGCTATCCAGTCCCTTATCTGCATCCTCTCATGACAAGCCAACAGAGGACACCAAGGACAAATGTATGCCCCCTCCCCCATAAGGTTTCATCAAAAAGAAATTTGTACTTAATTGGTCACAGCATTAGCTCTAGGGCTAAATGGCCAAAAGGGCATTTCTCCTTCTCTTGGGGTTTAATAGTCTTTTCTTTTAGCCCAACCCCACATTTTTATAATACTTGATGAAAGGGAGAAAAAAAATACAGTTGCTTGATTTCCCTTAAAAAAAAAATAAAACCTCAGATAACTGCTTTAAGTGCTTTATAACTTACAGGAGAAAGAAACGGGTTCTATAGGAAGAACAGTTAACTATATCTCACCTGGAAAAAAATCATTATCAGTGCTCAGTGGTTCTCAACCTTGGCTGCACATTAAATCACCTGGGAATCTTTTAAAAATCCTGATGACTTTAAAATCCCAGGTGATTCTAACGTGCAGCCAAGGTTGAGAACCAATGAGTTAGGCCAAGACATGATATCATATTAAGTCTGGCAGGAAACCAAGGATTCATTTGGTAAAAATGCTAAATATGTCTTCTGAAAATTTCAAATACCAATGCAGTCGATGCTATTAACAAAAGCATGGTGTTTTATGAAATATATAAACAAATTGAATCCATCCAGGCCCCCAGGGTTACTGTTACCAGCTATGGAATAGAGATGAAGATTTAAAAGACTCCTAACTCAGCATCACATCAAAGGGAATAAACTCTGGCTGAGCCAAGAAGCTCCTGGAAGGTGTATGTGAATATGAATCAGAATAAAGAACCATTCCAAAAATACACACAGAAACAGGTCCCTGCAGAGGAAAATCATACACTTCCAACTCACACTTAGATCTATTAAGTGAAATCAAACAAAATACCCTGCGTTAAGATTAAGTGCAAAAGCATTTGCTGCAATGGATGTGTATGACTAAACCAGTAAAACAAAGACATCTACAGTATTAATGTGAGTTTCTGCTGAGCGGCAGAGACCTCCCCAGTCTCACATTTTCCACCCGGTCACTCTGGACAGAGGCCTGAGGGGGAATCGCTTCTTTTGGGGACTGCAAATAGAGTCTTCTTGGCTGCACAGGGTCCTCTCTTCTTTCATATTAAAATGATTTTTCCAAGAAGCTAAGGTCTTAGCAGTCAGCATAGTATAGGTGCTGGAAGGAGAAGCAGAGTCTGGGTTCCAGCCCAAATTCTGCCTCCAAGCCTATATAATAAAAGCCTAATATGCTAAGTGTCCAGTCGTCTGTTCAACCAATCAAAGCATAATATGCTAATGATATGCTAAGGCCGCTCAACTGCTTGCTATGACATGCACTGACCACCAGAGGGCAGATGCTCCAACCTGTAGGTTAGCTTGCTGCTGGGGTCCGGCTGATCGGAACTGAGCAAGACAGGCCAGAACCCTCCCATGGCCCCTCCCCAGTTGGCCAACCTCCCACGTCCCTCCCTGACCCTGATAGTGCACCAGTGGGGTCCTGCGGCCTGACCTGCGCTCTCTTGCAATCCAGGACCCCTTAGGGGATGTTAGAGAGCCAGTTTTGGTCCAATCCCACAGGCCAGGCCGAGAGACCCCACTGGTGTACGAATTCATGCACCAGGCCTCTAGTCTTTGATAAGTCCACAAACCTGCTCTGTAAAATGAACAGATCTTTATGAATTTTGTTTCAAAAAATGCCAATCAGAGATCATGGAGGACAGATTCCATCGTTTTTGTCCTTTTACCGTACCATATGCAAAAGAAATAGACAGAAAGGATCAAGCACCACAGAAAGGTGGAGGTGCCCAAGAGTGTTGCACTTTGGAATTGACAGAGAATTAAAGTGGACAGAGCACAGCTCTGGGGCATGAAGACCTGAGTTTGAATGTGAGCTCTACTGGCCTTTGCTGGGTGAGCTTGGCCTAGTTATCTTGCCACATTACAAGACTCGGTTTCCTCATCTGCAAAGTGGAGATAACAACGACTTGACAAGATTTCAATGAGGATTTGAATAAAATGAAATAACATCCATGGGGTGCTTGGCACACAGACTGCTCTCAGAAAAATTTCTTCCTTCCTTCCCGATGTGTTAAAATTCTGACCGCCCGCCGGCACGGCTCAGTGGTTGAGCATTGATCTATGAACCAGAAGGTCACGGTTCGATTCCCAGTCAGGGCACATGCCTGGGTTGCGGGTTCGATCCCCAGTAGGGGATGTGCAGGAGGCAGTCAATTAATGATTCTCTCTCATCATTGATGTTTCTCTTTCTCTCTCCCTCTCCCTTCCTTTCTGAAATCAATAAAAAAATATTTTAAAATGTCTGACCTTGAGAGGCACCGGAAGGGAAATCTGCTCCATCCTGATTTTATGGGCGTAATGGGAACAGCACCACTGGCTTCCTAGATGCACCTGGCCCCCACTGCCAGGTTCTGTTTCCCAGACTTCCTGCCTGTCTTCTACACAGGAACCTAAGCAGGTTGAGTCCCCTGGGAAGAGTGGGTGA